TAACTGGGTTTCTTAAACAAGTCAATTTCAATTAACAGAAAATTGTGAGTAGAAGGTGGAAAATGTTCTAGATTAAAAGAGTCTAAAAATTGTATCTCCTGGGAGATACTCTAGGAAGGGAAGGGTCCCACCCCAACCCTGCTCCTTTACATTCCCGTCATGAAGAACTTAGAAACATGAAGGTGATCAGTTTTCCCTCCATGAACATTGCTCCCCTTCCTGGGGCTCGGGAGACCCTGGAGTGTGTATGGAAACAATGCATGGTTTTGTGTTCCATTTTGGAAGAATACAAGGATAAGACTCTCTAAAAGTCATCTGTATCAAAGACGTCGTTACAGTGTCCCACCAGTGGCAATAAAACTTCCAGTTCCGCACTCACTGAATCTAGAAGAAAACTGTCCTGAGGCCAGGCTGTGGCTCATCCTGAGTGATGAGGTCTGGAGTTTACAAAGATAGCCCCCACGGCAGACAAGTTCGGGCTGGTGTTAGTGCTGCTGTGTGAGATCGGAAGCATGTGGTGTGGCAGATAGGAGCTGGATAGTGAAACAGAAGGGGACATGGGCGCTCCACGGCCACCTGGCCCAGAGCGGATGCCAGAGTCAGCCACCGTGATGGCAGGAAGAGGTTTTGAAGCAGACAATGCCACAGAAGAACTTATTTCTTCTATACAATGTCCTGCTGCTTTTGTGAAATGAATCTACTTTCTGCGTGTTTTAAGGCCCAAGTGCAGCCGATACAGGCACCACTTAGTGATTCTCCCATTCAGTGCTCTCTTTCTCTTAACTGGCCTCCCCGGCACGGCCATGGCATCTCACTTTGCACTTGACCTTGTGGGCGGCTCAGGTTGTACAAGTGTATAGGCTTAGGCATAGTAGAATAACACTTAAGAATTTGTCCTAAAAGAGTTATATCCGTGTCCCTTTCCAGGGGAGGCGCCTGCTCAGGCTGACAGGAGAGGGCCTTCTCGGTGTCCAAGCCCTCATGACACAGCTTCAGTCCCTCCACCAGGGCCAAGACCCAGGTTCTGGAAATCTAGCTTTCCCAAAGCTGGTGACACATGAGGCCCACAAGAAGTTCTATGAAAGTAGGGTACCTTACACAGGTGGATCTGGAAGGAGGTGTCATCGCAGGAAGTCGTTAGAGACCATCGTCTGGCCATGGCTGTGAACTAGTCACAGACCAGCCCTCCAGCCTTGGGCAAGTACAAAGATTGTTTGGCTCTGTCTTCGTGGACAGTGTGCAGGCTGCATCCCCGGGACGGTGTGGCAGTTCAGTTGAGCTGAAGAAGCAGAGAGCAAAGTTTATGGCAAGACACGGCCCTGGAGAGGGGGCAGCTGTGCAGAGAAGGCGCCCCAGAGGTCCATGTGGGGATCCCCTGTCAGTCCATGGCTGAGGGCTAAGCCATCTGGGCACAAGGCCATCCCCCTCGAGGCTCACCTAGCTGCACTGCTGCCCAGGTGGAGGGATCTTGCCAACACTCTTGGCATCCATCCAACTAGGTTCCAGAATGGCCCATCCTGAGCATTAAGGACCACAGGCTCAGATTAGACCTACTTCAAATCCACCCTAATAAAGTCTGAAGCTACACTCCAGAGGAGGTGGAGTTTGGAGGCTGGTCCCCACCAAGTTAGAGGGGCCCCAACAAAGTATGACCCCAAGCCCACGCAGCCTCAGGGTGATCATCCAGTCATTAAGCTGCTTGTTAGAACAAAAAATCAACCCTCTTTGAAGAATCCAGTCTGTAGCGTATTATCCACAATGTCTAGTGTTTGATCCAAAATCACTAGACATGCAAGTAGGAAAATGTGATCTGTGCTAAAGAAAAAGTAGTGGTGAGAAACCAAACCCTCAGTGTTTAGTACAGATTACTCTCTGGGCCTGGAGGTGGGCTGTGTGGGGTCCTATTCTCGTTACCAGCTCCAGACCATTCTTCCAACTCCTCCTCCTTAAAGACCGCCCAGTGCATGGCCCCTGTGGCCTCAGCCCCTCCTTCCCTTGATGTCAGAACCCCACTTGTGCTCCAGCACAGCTCCTGCCACACATAATCCTTGTTTCAGTGTCCACGTGGCAGGGTCCCCGGGGACCTGGCATCATGCTGCCCTTGCCCCCTCACCCTCAGGTGAGCCCATCATATCTACTCCCCCAAGTGCCTTCCTGCCTTTGGGTTCGAGCTCAGCTGCTCTTCTCTGGGTCTGTTTCCTCTGCCCTCGGCAGCCATCCTGGCTGAAGAGATCCCACAATCCAGCCTCCCATCGCAGCAGACTAGGTGGTTCTCTGAGGCTGCCTCCTCTTCAGTCAGGGGCTCCCCGCCAGCAGTGCCCCGCCCCAGCCACAAATGTACTGCAACACCTCCCACCCTCTGCCCTTGGCCAGGATCCCCGCCTCCCTCCACTATCTCTGGCCTTCTCACCTGGCTCCATCATCCATGTCCTCACCACCCTCCCTCAGACAGTCCAGCCAGCGCTCCCCGTCCGCTAGGAGTGGCAGGTGCCCCCAGCATGGCCCAGCAGCTCTGCCACCTGGGCGCACCAAGATGAGCTCCCCACAGCAGCCACAGAGCAGATTCAGTGGCCCTTGCACCGCTCACCTGCTGCTGACCTCGGCAGACATGTTGTATCAGTTCTTCCTGAAACATGTTCTTCGTGTGGCTTCCAGGATCTCACTCTCTCGGTTCTGCTGTCACCCTGGTCACTTGTCAGTCTTCTTTGCTCGTTTTCAGTTTGTTTCCTCCCACAAATCTCTAGAGTGCCTGGGGTTTAGTCTTGGACTTTTTCTCTCCTCCCTCTCCCCAGTGAGCCTCTCCAGTCTAAACAATACCCCTCATATGCCCCCAGCACACACACTTGTATTCCCAGCCCAGGCTCTACCCTGGGCTCCTGAGCCTCGGCCATGACGGCGTGCTCAGCATGGAGCATTGTCGGCTGACCACCTGCCACCCGGACCAAGCAGCACGTCCAGCCTGGAGCCCAGGTGCCCCCCTGTGCTCTCCTCTGCTCAGTTCAATGTCAGTACCCGTGGACTCCAGCCTCCCAGTTCTTCGGGCCAAAATTCTTGGAACCTTCCTTTATTTCTCTTTTTCTCTTACACATCATACACAAGCTGACCTTTTCCCTCTCCCTTCTACCCAGAATCCAGCCTCTCTGCCCTCTGCTGCTAGCTCCATGGCCCCAGCCTCCATCCCCCCCGACCGGCACTATGACCCCAGCTTCCTGATGTGATCCTTTTACAGTCCACAACCCTCCAAGGGCTGCCATTGCACCTCAGGGCGAAAGCCAGAGTCCTACAAAGTCTCCACGGTCTGCCCACCTTCACCGCCACCTCGTGTCATAGACTGCCGGACCCCCACTCACAGAACAGCCTGGTACTAGAGGCTTCTCACGCCATTTGTCCAGATGCTAGGCTGCCATGTGCCAGACCCAAGGCAGCCTCACAGAATTCCAGGCTGACTAAGATGACCTCAGAGCATTGAGATTGGGAAGGTCTTTCAAGGATCCTTTGTCCTGCCTGTTGAGTGCCTGAGCTCCTCTCTGGCGTTCCTGCCCGAGGGGCCTGAGGGTTCCTGGAATGGCTCCACTTCCTTCTCATTGCACGTGTGGGCAGCTCTTGTCATCACCACTTCTCTGTAAGTGGAGCTGAAATGGACCACCCTGTAGCCTCTGCCACCACAGGTTCACAGAGGACAGGTCTGCTCCCTGTCAGTTGGGAGGAGCGCTCCTGCTTTCTGCCTCTGTGCATGGGGGACCCTGGGGCCACCATCCTTCCATGTGTGAGTTCTAGAACAGGCACAATTGGACCTGGGGGGTGAGGCCAGCAGGGCATGAAGCTGGTGGCACACCCCCTTGGTCGTGATGCGGACACTCCCAGAAGCTCTCCATTTGCCCTTATTTAAAGTTCCTGTCACCCAAAACCCTCATGAGCCGTGACAGGCTGGAGCCAACTTGCCCTGGCTCGTCTGAGCCCGCCATGCGCCTCCTCCCAGCTCTGTCGTCAGGGGCTGGGGGCTGCTGGCATGAAATCAGCCCTGCGGGGTCTCTGCTCCCCCGAGATCAGCAGACAGTACAGGTCAGGGCTTTGATTTCTCTGGGAGCCGGTTGCTGGCTGTGTGCCTGTCCAAGCCCTCGCCTCCCCCTTCAGCCAGGTGCTGACTGCCTCTTGCCTTCAGGGACACTTCTGCCATCTGTTGTCGCTTGTCCCTCTGCTGTATTCTTGGAGAACTGGTAGAAACCAGGGTGGCTCGCCTCTTGGAGCCCCCTGCCCTGCCCCCAAGGAGGAGCCATGACCATCCACGGACAGGTGTGGACTGAGCGTCAGAGGCCCACGCTCTGACGGGCATCTGAACCCAAGGGCCTGCCATGCCCTCGTCTTGACGGTGGTTTGAGAGTCAGAGAATTCTTCCCAGCTCTTGGTGGTCAGGAGGGTGGACTGTAACGTGCTTTGAGCCCTCATCCAGCTTTGCATCCTGGGGACGTCACCTGAGCAGCGGGAGGCCGGGGGCGGGGCATTTCCCTCTCAGACACCTGCAGTGGGGATCCCAGTGGGACAGGCCAGTGGCAACTGATGGGATGGATGGGCCATTTGGCTGCCGTGGCCGCTGCCATGCTGGCTGGGTTATGGTCAGAGCATGGAGTCAGGCCTTGGGAACAACCCCAAGCTGGTTTGTAGGAAGTAGAGTCGAACCTGTTTGAACGCTTTGCCTAGAGATGGGGCGGGGCTTGGAAGCAGTATTGCTCTGTCTTTTCTCTGCCAATCTTAACTTGGATCGGTCCGTCTGGTGACGCAGCCCCAGCTCCAGGCGGGAGCGAGAGCATTCCCCATGGGGAAATGGGGAGGCCAGGGGGTGAAGAGGTGACAGGGCTCCCTGAGGAGCCAGGGAAGACGCCATGCTGGCTTCTGGGTAGGGAGGGCCCGGCCCTATCGCTGGGCTCCTGCTCAGATGTGGGGGCGGGAGGCTGGGGCTGTTCCATCCTTGAGGCTTCCCTAATGTGTGTGCGTGCCCCCAGATGAACGACAATCTGTTGGAGAGCTGGAGCGACCTGGATGAGCTCAAAGCGGCCAGGAACCTGGAGACGGTGTACCTGGAGCGGAACCCCCTGCAGAAGGACCCGCAGTACCGGCGCAAGATCATGCTGGCCCTGCCTTCTGTGCGGCAGATCGATGCCACCTTTGTCAGGTTCTGAGTCCTCCTGGCTCCTGCCAGGTCCCTCTCATCACAAGAACTGCCCAGCCACGGTTTTTATCCGCCCGTTGCTCCTCAAGCCGGCACTCTATCAGCAGTTACAAACCCAATGGCAATAAAAAGGCACTGAGTGATAACCGCCGTGTGTGACGCCGCCCTGCTTCGGGACGCCCGTGGCCAGCACACCACCACCTGGTGGTGTGCCCATGGCGCTCCCGCCACATCTATTTCCTCTTCCTGAGAAGGGCAGGCCAGTGGGTTTGAGGGCGCTGGCCAGGGTGGGGGCCCTCAGGGGCTGGCGTGGCAGCCCAGAGCTGTTTGGTCTTACCAGGTGATGCCAGGGTTTTTCTAATCATACGTATTTCAGAACAAAACCATGGGCACAGGATCACAGGGTCCTGTGTGCTGCAATCTGCTGGGCCCCTTGACATCCATGGCCGCGCGCCAGGCCCCTTGCAGACCACAGGCTCTCCAAGGCCAGGGCTCTGCTCCAGACCAGCTCTGAAGAGCTTACCACTTGACAGCTCCTAATGTCGCTTCCCAGTCCTACCCCGTCCTTGTGTCAGCTTGTTTCTCAGAAGACTCACCTCGGCCGTCACCCAGGGTCTGAATTCAATGCCGCAGGACCTCAGCCTGTCTTGGGGTCTCCAGTTTCTCTTCTGCAGAAGGAGGACTGAATCGAGGGGTCACCATGGGTCCCTTCTAGAGCGGTGCCTTCCAGTACAGGCTGCCCACCACCACGTGTGGCTGCTTCCATTCAAATTTAAATGTGTTCGAACAAAATGAAATCTAGCACTCGCCTTGCCTCCTTTGCCTACTCTGGTGCAGTCGCCACCCCGCCGGGGACAGCCCTGCCCCCACCATCCTCATGAACAGCCCAAGCAGGTCAGAGGGCCCCAGGTGGCCAGGTGACCACTGCCAGGAGTTGTAGATGTGGCAGCAGTTGGCTTGAAGTTCAAGCTCACGTCCAGTTCCCAAGTCTTATCTCCGCCAGAACAAACCATGTGGCCTGAAGCCAGGAGCACCTGCCTCCGGGAAGCAGACCTCTGGCCCCGGGTGGGAGGGTACCCTCCCGAAAGGGGCCTTGGGATGATGGCCTTGAGGTCGCAGAAGAAAATTGAGACCCAAGGATTCAGGATTGGCACGACCTTGCTGAGAGCATTATTCCCAGAAGCCCTGCACCCTAGCGCAAGGCCGAGACCTTCCAGAGCCACGGAGGCACACGCAGCAGGAACAGGGCCCACAGAGCCCTCTGCAGAGCTGGGATGGCGTTCTGGCCCCGGCACTGGAGGGACGTCAGCCATGAGGTCATTGATTTTTAATTTGGGAGGCAGAGTGTGGCCAGTGGCGGCAGGGACTGTGCCCGCGCATGCCCGCCATGGCACAGGCAAGGAAAGGGGGTGATCACCAGATGCTGACAGTTGCTGCTAATGGAATAGGTGTTTCCCCGAAGGTAGGAAAAGAAACCCGAAGAGCCTCGAGCAAACAGGCCAGCAGGAGAAAGGCCTCAGCGGGCCCATCCTCGTGGGAATGAGACGGGGACGCTTGCCCAGAGCATCTGTGCATTCAAAGACACAGGAGACTTTGGGGATGGAGCGGGTGGGGCAGGGTGTCCTGAACCCAGCACTGTCCCAGTCATGTGCCATCTGCATGTACTGAACCTCGAACACCCTTGGACAAGAGCCAAGAGAGGAAGTTACCTGCTGGATCCTGAAGGCTGCAGACCGGGTTAGGGGGGCGCAGGGCCCCGGGCACCAGGCGGGGCAGCGGGCAGGACATCCCCTGCAGAGCCAAGTCCAGAGGGCCACAAACCCCAGTGTGAACGGGAACCTCAGAGGAGGGGCTGGGGGCTTCCCAAAGCAGGACCCTGGGACCTGCTCTTGGTGGGTTTGTTTATATGGCAGAGGGATTCCTGTCGCACAGGGAAGGCCTTGAGTAGAGCAGACAGCAAACAAAGATGCTCACAGTGGGTACAACCAGCAAAGGCCTCGTCCAAGTACCCTGGTAGAAACAAGCCCAAGGCAAGAGGAGCCGCATCAGGGAGGCCAGAGTGCTGAGCCACCCCCCACCGCCCCCTACGCCCTCTCTGAGAAACACACACTGTGATAGGCCCTCCCTGTGCACCTACCCCAAATTAGCTGGGTGGAAACCTCCCCACGCGAGGTGTCCAGGAGGGCGCCACAGGCAGGCCCTGGGCTCTGGGAGGGACCCTGGGGGCACCCTGAGCCTCAAATAGTTCACCCAGCCCTGGGCTCCCCAGGACATGCTCCTCGGCAGGAAGCAGCCACAGTGCCCACTTGGAACCCTGAGGAGGCCACAGCCGCAGAGACCACGGGTCCATGGGAGAGGGCTGTGAGGGCTCCACAGGGGTACACACAGACAGGAGGGCTCGAGGGACCACCAAGAACAGCCAGGAGGGAATAGCCCTCTTCCCGAGGCCTGAAACAACCCCAAGCAAAAGACCCTGGGCTGGGTGGGGGGAGGCGGGGGGTGGGGGGGGAGGAGGGGCAGAGGAGGCGGAATGAAGAATGAAGTGTGGGACAGCCTGGCTGCAGGGGGCGCTCCGCGTCCTGTGAGGCACTTGGGATACATCAAAGAACAAAACAAGCCCCCCCCCTTTTTAAAGATTTTTAAAAATCTCTGCCCTGGGACAGCCACACAATTGTTTAGTTAGAAGGTAACTTGCCCTTCAGAAGAGAGCAGAGTCTGTGGGCAAGCTCAGGGGCAGTAGGGGATGGGGTGATTCTGATGAGGGGCAGACCCCAGTAAGCTAGGGAAGGAGGCTGAGGGGGCTTCAGAGAGGAGGAGGTTGAGCAGAGAGCAGGAAGAGGGAAACCTCAGAGCACCCCAGGCAGGGGGACCCACAAAGGAGGCCCGGGAACCCCAACTGGTGGGTGTGGGGCACTTGGCAGGAAGATCCCGTGTCGGGAGCTAGCTGTGGTGGGGCCGAGCGGCCGCAGGGGAGGAACAGGGAGGCTTTCCTAGCAGGGAAGATACCCTGGGGGTGGGGGGGGGACACAGACACCTATTGAGGCAAGAGGCCAGCAGTGAGGATGACATTAGGTGGGCCGGGGATGGGCCAGGTGGCCACCTGGAGGAGGGTGCTTGCTCTGTCCTAGGGGATATTTGGGAGAGAGGTGGAATCAGGGAAGGATCTTGGGGGGCAGGGTGGGGCCTGAGGGCAGGGGTTGAGTGAGGGGGATGGCACGAAGGGCACCCATCAGACTGGGTGCAGGGCGGGTCAGTGTCCAGGGAGCAGCAGTGCCCCCCACGGACGGTCTCTACCAGCACCGTGCAGCCCAGTGATCGTGTTTGAACCAGCCATGTGCCCATCGCTGGGGAGGAGGCATGCTAGTTCTTCCCCCATCCGTGGGATCTTGTCCCTTTCCAGGCTGCCTTGCGGCCAGAGTGGGCGGGGGCCCATGCTCAGCCCACAGCACCTGCTGTCCTGAGAGCAAGGGTCGATGCCACTGACACGGGGCCGGGAACCTGGACCTGGCGGCCACGAACGTGAGGAAGAGCGGTTCGGTCACTACAGCTGGAGGCTTTTCCACACTTCTGCCAATGTATTCCTAAGTAATTCCATATTCCACAAATGGATATAGGAAGTTACTGTCAAAAAAGGCTGGTGTTGGGGCGCCTGGGTGGCTCAGTGGGTTAAAGCCTCTGACTTCGGCTCAGGTCATGATCTCAGGGTCCTGGGATCGAGCCCCACATGGGGCTCTCTGCTCAGCTGGGAGCCTGCTTCCTCCTCTCTCTCTGCCTGCCTCTCTGCCTGCTTGTGATCTCTGTCAAATAAATAAATAAAATCTTAAAAAAAAAAAAAAAAAAAAAAAAAAAGGCTGGTATAGCAGATCGGGGCCTGGGCTCTTCCCCAAACCTGGGACCCAACAACACACCTGTGCCCATTGTCACTTGCTGGCTTTTTTTCCCCCTTATTTTTAAAAACAGCAAGAGTAATGCAACTTGAAAAATATGTCAAGACGAAACATTATATAAAATAGGCATTTCAACACCACCCCGGGAATGAGTGCTGTTTCTAGCGTCCTGCGTGTGCCTGGCCCCCCACGGCTCCAGCTTTGGTGAGCGGTGACCCCCAGCGGCCAACCTGCCGCTTTTCTCCGGCTGACGTCCCTGGGGCCACCGCGAGCAGAGTGCTGGGAACCCCTGAAAGCTGACCTCTTCCCGGGCCCCTGGAGGTGTGGCCAGAGCGGAACATCAAGTTGTCTGGCTAGAAAAACTCTGGGCCACACCTTCCCCTCCGGAGGCCCTGTGGGGCCAGACTGAGGCCCCACAGCGGATACCCCTCCTCCCTCGCCTGCCTCACCCCAGTTCCTGGCTCTGGGGCATCCCCAGGGCAGCTGGTACACAGGAACCCAGCTCAGGGATCCCAAACAGTGAGCCCAGTGTGGACCCTCCAGCTCAGGAATGCCTGCTGTGGCTGGCCACAACCCAGGACCCATGGCGCAGGGTCTCCTGGGAGGGGGGTGGGGGTCAGAGATGTAGCCAAGACGACGGTGGGACTCTGGGTTTCGCACAAGAGAGCCATAAGAGAGCAGTGCTGTGGGGAGGACGGAGTGGGCTCCTGGGAGACAGGCCCAGACCCAAGAAGGACCTGGTGGCTGGGACCCCTCCCTGCAGTGAGCAGGGCGGCACCCCCTTTCACATATGGACCCTGAGGTCACACCCAGGAAATGGCAGAAATGGCTGTGCAAGCCAGGCCCTCAGAGTCTCTGGACAGCGGCCCACCAGGTGGAGATGGCAGCCAAACCCTCCGTGGCCGCCCCAGCTGGGTGCCACCACTCCCGGTCCCTCCACAGCAGCAGCCAACAGTGACATTCCTAAGTAAATCAGGGGAGAAAGATGAGCTGTGTCCTTTTGGGGAGGATGGTGGCATTTGCATGTGAGACAGGGAGAGGCTCTAGGAAAATGGGCTGCCTCTGTTTGCAGACCCAGAGCCCCACACCCCCTTCTCAAACAAAGGCAGATCCTGTTCCAGGAGCTGGGAGACCTTGTCCCCTGCCAGGCAGCTACGCCAGGCCCCTCTCCTGCCCATTTGCCAGGCAAGGTGAGGACATCTAAGTGGACAGCCCCACCTGGGCAGGACCACAAGGACTCGGTCCCTCCCAGTTCTCTG